TAGATCATGTCAGTCCATCTCTATGAATGTCAAGATATCAGTGTTTTTCTTTCTTTTCCAAAAGAAATCATTTGAAACAGTCTTATGAAAAACAAATTTTGATACCACAAACCAATATGCTATCAAACTTAATTTGGGAAAAAAAACATTACTTGTTGAATTGGAAATTTTGGAACTATTTTTCTTCCAAGTATTATAGTTTCAAAAACAAAATTATTAAAGTGTCACATGTAATTTGAATTTTGACAACTATTTTTTATTATAAAGAATCAGTATTTTTATCATTTTTTTGGGTTTACAATATTTTTTACTAAATTTAAAGATTTCATACTAAATACTGGTAGTACCATTTTGCATCATTTTTGTATATTTTTATTTCAGTGTTTTTTGTACCACCAAACTTCACAGAAAGATTGCACACATGTTGAAGTTGTGTACCTGCTAGTATGGAATTGCTTGAGGAATTTTCCCCCATTTTCCAAAATTTGTGAAAATTTTTACCAAAATTCACAAAGACTGCAACAATTTTGTGTAATCAACTCCTGCAGTTTTAAATCTAGATCTTTGAAACTTCACACAATGATTGCACGAATATTTAAGTTGTGCACTAGGTACTATGGAATTTTCTGATAATTTTTTCCCCATTTTTCTTGAAGACTATTTTTCAACTAAAACGATGGTACCAATTTTTGTTTTTTACCCATATCTTTGGAACTTCAGAGAGTTTGCAAATCGATTGAGGTTGAGCATCAGCCCCCATTTTTACATTTTATATTTCCATATATTTAAATTTCATTAAAGACCATTCTCCATTGTTTAGCAAAAATTTGCACAACTCAGCTATTTGAGGCTTTGATCATTTTTTGGAATATACATGACTACTATGTGCATGATGAGTAAAACTTAAAAGAAGGTATTCTATTAAACTATGCTTCAAAATATTTAAAAAATGGTGTTAGTCAATCACTATACTGTCCTTTTTTATTACATTTTTATACATTGTACTGTCATTTTTTAATACATTTGTTTAAGTATTTACATATCAGATGTCTGGTAACTAATATAAAAGCTATTATTTAGAGCTCTGTAAATAAAAAAGATATAAACATAGTTCTAAATAATACTTTTAATGGGAAGAAGAAATTGTGGGGTACCAAAAACATTTGGTAAATTTTCAAAATACAAGTTACCTGTTTAAAAGCACATCTGGTATTTTTACAGTTTTTTATGTATTAATTTTATAAATTACATGTATTTTACATCGAGAATTACTCCAGTAGCCATGAATGGAAAAAGAATATGTTGTGAGATTCTTTGGAACAATCTTGTGAAAATTGTATATTTGATTGGATACAATGGAAAGGACATTTCATTAATTGGATAAATGGATTCAGTGAACTGATTAGCATACAAATCTATGATGAAAAACATTTCAAAGCAGCCAGGATAGTAGCTCTAAGGAAGATGGTCAATTGAATCTTCAACAAAGTCTGAGGCTTTACCATGAAAAAAAATAAGGCATGTTTAATAAAGCCAAACATTTTGTATACATTCTCTAGAAATATTTCATAAAAAGTGAAAAGTAAGACAACACCATTGACAAAATTATTTTATCAGTTTTATATTTAAAGTTGCCAAGTACATGAACAAGATAGCAAAAGTAAGTCCAGAAAATTTCAAGGGGATACTAGTACATTTAACTAACATTTGTTTATTCAATGGGAGATAACTCTGTAAAATATGCAGATGATTTTTGTGCAGTTGAAATTCAGATCATAAAACTCTGACTTATTTTTTGTTTTCCATCTTTTATATTAATTTTACAAACTGGTGTTAAGGTTATACTACTGTGTACATGTATTAAAATATCAGAACAATATTTAGAAAATGTTAGGTTCAATTGTTGACAGAAAAATGGATTTGTAAAATATGTAATGTCAATTTTAATTTCTTTTTAGGTTATTTCTGTGACATATTTTCATGGTGTGGGAATAAGACTTGGTGGTCTTATACAGCTAACATGTAGGTAGGTACCAGTATGTTATTCCTGTTTAAAAAAAATGTATTATAAAATTTCTTTGGAAATTGGCTCTAGGCTTGAAGTCTTATAAGAAATTGGTCAGAAGTCTACTCTTTCTTTTATCAGTACCATTATATGAGTAAATTTAATCTGTTAAAATAATGTAAAAGTTTGCTGGGTTGCTGGATAGCGATCTAATCCATAGGTTCCCAACATCTATTGCACGTTTATAGACTATTTCTATTTAATATACATACCTTTTACCAACAATAATCCTTTTAAACAATTTATAATGACTAAACGTTTTATATTTCAGGTTAGCATCACAGCTTGTCCGTAAGGATTGAGACTGAGAATGGCCATTGGAGCTGACTTTTATGGTAAGAACTAATAGAGAGATTGATGAACTATTCATCCAAGAGTATATAAATACCCTAGATTTTTATTATGCACAAATGTAGATCATACATTTTAATGTTTATAATTGTATATATAATCTCAAAGGAGGTAAATTAGGGAAGTCAAAAATTGTAATTAGGAAATCTTGTCACCACTGTCTTTCTCGTTTTCTAAAATTATTACCATATTTAAAAATAAGGTGATGTGGTATGATTGCCAATGAGACAACTATCAACCAGAGACCAAATGATTTGGATGTAAACAACAAAGGTCACTGAACTGCCTTCATCAATGAGCAAAAAGTATACTGTAGAGTAAGCTATAAAAAGCCCTAACATGACAAAATGTGAAACAATTCAAACGAGAAAACCAACTGCCTGATATATGATAAATCAATTGAAAAACAAATATGTCAAACATCAAAAAACAACTTGTTTTTCATACTTTTTTTCTGATGAAGAATGGTGGTTTTAAATTGATGCCAACACTTTAAAACAAAGTAAAAGAAATGTTATATGCATCATAATTATGATCCTTAGTTAATTATTCTTTTGCATTGAATATTGTTTCAATTTTTTAACAAATATATTTTAAGAACGACTAAATCTTTTTCAGGGGACTTTTTCTGTGGCTGCATAAAATGTTTGTGTGGTATAACTGCAAAGAATGTAATTCAGACAATTTTTGTGTATGTTTGAGGAAATGTTTATAATTTTTTACAAAAGAAAATGTGTAAAGGTTCTCCATTTTCAACAATATTGGAAGTTCTAGCTTAACTTGTATTTGAAATTTCAAAATGTCTCATTCTTTTTTTCATTAAAACCCATGGCTGTATTCTGGTATTTCTACACATGTCCATTATTGTCTTGACATTTTTTTGTCATGCGTATAAGCTTATATGGATACTGAACTAGTTTTTGGAATATAGTTTTGTAATGATGAAATTAAATTTCATATCGTATTCATTTTTTTACCATCTGACTAGATTTAATTCTTACTTTGAAAATGAAGTGAAATGGACCAATTTTACTTGAAGATCTACTTTAGATACCAGTATATGAATAATGGTCCATGAGTCAAATGACTTCCAGTAGGTTAAGAATAGAGAATCTGAAAAGAAAAAAAAAAGAAAGAAAAAAAAAAAAAAACAAATGTTATTTTATTGCAATGTAATTTTTGGGTTTCGAATTGTTAGATATATATTTTTTTAACCTTTTTGTTATTTTCATCTGAATTAAACTAAGTATAACAATTTTAAGAAGCATAGTTGTTAAAAATAGATTGATGATTGATTTTTGGTGTTTAACGCCACTTTTAGCACGATTGGCTATATCTTGGCAGCCAGTTATTAATGGCTGAAATGGGAGTGCCTTGAGAGACTTTTGGCAAGAAAACAAGCAATCTTGGTCAATTAAGATTGATTAAATGCCCATACAACATGCAGGGTTTGAATTCACAACCTCAATGTTGACATGCTAGTGATTGAGTAGAACTACTTGGACAACTCTGCCACCAAGGTCCTAGGTGAAATTTTAGTAAAAAATGTACTTAATATTTTTTAGAATAGTGTTGGATTTTTTGTATTAAATTATTTTTTAATGTTCATTATACTGTTTTTTGTATTTTTGTTAAATACAGCAAGGATGTGGAGTCCTAACAGGGTGAAATTTAAGTCAAAGGGAGGTAATTTATTATAACCCCTGTTAACTCCACATACTTGAAATTCCCACAGTGCTAGCTTTTTATTTTCTTGGATATTCAATTTTGTATAACTTTTTTCAATATCAGATATATACTACCTAATATGGACTATTATTTAGAGCTCTGTAATAAAAAAAAATGTAAACAGAGCTCTAGATAATAGATATGTAGGGTTGGGAAACTCATGGGTCATAAAAAAAGATTTGGTGAAATTTTTGAAAAAGGTTATTAGTTGAAAGTGCATCTGATATTTTATATATATACCACTTTATGTTTAAAAAGAAATGCAGGGAAAAAAAATAGATTGACCATAAGATGAGGACAACCACCTTGGCAGCCAGGAGAGCGGCTCCATAGAAGATGGTTAAATAAATCTTCCAACCAAGTCTGAGGCTTTACCTAGAAAATAAGAAGGCAAGTTTATTTGAGCCAAACAATTTCTATACATTCTCTAGAAATATTTGATAAAAAAGAGCATATCAAGACGAACTGCATCTTTATTTTCTGCTTGTAAAACACCATTGACTAACCAGTGTAATATTTTCAATTGCCAGGTGCTTGAACAAGATTTTCTATTAGAATAGCAATTGCAAATTTAACTTCAAAGGGAGACTAGTACACTTAGCATCAAGAATTTCTTATTCAATGGGAGATAACTTTTTGTTTAATATGCAGATGATTTTTGCACAGTTGAAATTTAAATCCTAAAACTTTTACTTTGTTTTTCCATTTTTAAAATTAATTTTACAAACTGGTGTTGATGCTTTATTATTGTGTAAATTTAGTCAGAAATCAGAAAAGTATTAAGTAAATTTTAGGTTGACAGAGAATTGATTTGTAAAATTATGTAATGTGTCAATTTTTATTTCATTTTAGGTTCTTTCTGTGACATGTTTTCATGGTGTGGGAATAAGACTTGGTGGTCTAATACAGCTAATATGTAGGTAGGTACCAGTACCAGTATGTTATTCCATGTTAAAAAAGTAACAAATGTATAATATAGTGTTATTGAATGGGTGTTTTCATATTAATCCTATATTATGTTCCAAGTAGTTGTATTGGGTCGAGGTTAGCTGTATTGGCTCGATGCGTAGCTGAGGGCCAATACAGCTAATGAGACCCAGAACGACTGTACAAGGACATAATACAGGATTAATAGGAAAACACCCATTTTATGACATCTTATTAACCAATGACTTGGAATAACCACCCGAAGCTGATCGAGATGGTAGGAAAATTCCTACATGAACAATATAAACTAATTGGGTTTTTCATTTAAATGCAAGGAGTATTGAATAGCCCTAAAAATTTATATACATTCACTAGTACACAACTTTGAGCCTCTTGATTTTAAAAAAGCTATCTCCCATCAAAATGATGTCACTGGCGTTTGTAAACAAAATGGAAATGGCTAGGTTAGAAGTATGTGGTGAGATGAAGAAAAAAGTATGTGAAATCCATCTGGTGCCGAGGATAGCATTCACAAACGACCCTTTTCAGGGCCATCATTATTTTACATAGTCTTCTTTTGTTGTATATATGAGGCATTTTAAGACACAAAATAATTCTCTGATTAGTGTTTTGACATTTTGTTACGGTACTACAGTATACTGGGTTAACCCCATTAATGTGGTCAAAATATTAATACGCGTAGAAGAGCTTCTTAAACATGCACTTTAAATAGTTCATGAAAGGCCCATCTACTGTTAGTTTGGTATAATTAAACAAATGTTGCCCCTTCCAAGCGGTGCATATCCAAGATTGTCAACCCTACTGCGCCCGTAGAGAAATAGTCTTTTACGGTTGACAATTCTGATTATTCACCATTTCAACGGTCTTTAATTTATATATACCGGTGCTAAAAGAAAAAATTATATCATATGAAAAATAACAACTTTAACATCAAATTTGTTGAAATCTAATATTTCAAGTAATACACACATCCATTTTCTGACACCTTTTTGAACCAAAAACCATAAGTTGAACTCCTGTATTAAGACCAGTAAAAATTTCTGTATGAACTGGTTTTTCTGTATTAGACCTGTATTAACAACCAGTTCTCAGACACATGGAATTGTATTAACTGGACAATTTATAATGTATTTTAAGTCATTGGTTAATAATAGAAAAAATTTAATATTATGTGCTCTTAAGCTTGAAAGTTTATACGAGTTTGGTCAGAAATCTACTATTTTTGTTTATCTGTATTATTATATGAGAAGATTTAATAAGGATCTGAACTGATTATGTAAAGTTTGTTCGGTTGTTGGATTGCTGTCTAATTGATATGTTCTCAACATCTGTAACATATATATATAAAACCCATTTATTTATAATATAGATACAGTATACCAACAGTGATCCTTTTAAACAATTTTGAAAACTAAGCATTTTATATTTCAGGTTAGCTTCACAGCTTGTCTGTAAGGATTGAGGCTTGGAATGGTCATTGGAGCTGAAATTTATGGTAAGAACCAATACATAGATTTATGACCTATTCATCCAAGAGCATATAAATGCGAAAGATTTTTATTATGCACAAATGTAGATCTTACATTTTAATGTTTCTTAAGTTATAATTGTATATATGATATGGAAGAAGGTAAATAAAGAAGTAAAAAACTATAATTTAGGAAAATATTATCTGTATTTTGTTATTTGTTATCTTAAATAGTCCCATATATAAAAATTAAGAGATGTGGTATAATTGCAAATGAGACCAAATGATGTGGATGTACTCAGCTAAAGGTCACATTACAGCTTTTAACAATGAGCAAAATCTAGACTGTTTAGTAAGCTATAAAAGGCCCTAACATGACGAAATGTGAAACAATTCAAACAAGAAAACCAACTGCCTGATATATGATAATACAATGAAACGAAAAACAAATATGTCGGATATCAACCATCCTTTTTGTTTATTAGTAGTTTAAATTTATGGCAACAAATCACTTAAAAACTAATAAAAGAAATGTATGCATCATTATTGTAATGCCCAGTTAATGATTTCTTTGCCAGAATAATGTTTCAATTTTCTTATAGTTTGACAGATATGCTTCAGAATGTCTATTTCTTTTTCAGGTAACTTTTACTGTGGCTGCATAAAATGACTGTGTAATATCACTGTAACAGTGAAAAATGTAAAATAGACAATTTTTGTGTATGCTTGAAAAAATGTTTATAATTTTTTACAAAAAATTAAAAAAAAAAAAAAAAATTGTGTAAAGATTCTCCATTTTCAACAAGATTGGAAGTTGTAGGTTAACTTGTATTTGAAATTCAAAATTTCATTTTCTTTTTTCCATTGAAGCCCTATGGCAATATTTTGGTAGCTCTTCTCAAGTCAATTATTGCCTTGACATATTATTTTTCATTCTTTTTTTTTAAATGAAGTGGAACGGACTAATTTTACTTGAAGACCTACTTAAGAAATATTAATAATGGTCTGTGTCTAGTCAAAACACTTCCAGTAGGTTAAGAATGGAGAATCTAAAAAAAAAAAAAAAAAAAGAAAGAAAAGAAAAAGAAACAAATGTCATTTTATTGAAATGTAGTTTTTGGTTTCCAGATTTGTTAGATATATGTCTGTTCCAACTTTTTTTTATTTTTAGCTTAATTGCTAACAACTTTTAAGAATATCTTACAAGTAGCATAGTTGAAGAACATCTTGATGAAAATAGATTGATTTTAGTGTTTAACCCCGCTTTCATCATGATTGGTTGCCAGTTTTTATAAGTGAAGGAAGCCAGAGTGCATAAAGAAAACTGGACAGAAAAACAGGAAATCCCAGTCAATTAAGATTGGAGTTGAACACAAAGTGAAAATTAAAATACTAAATGTTTTGAAATGTGTTGGGATTTTTGTTATTAAATTTCTAATTTTTGTGGTACTATATTTTGTATTTTTGTTAAATATAGCAAAAATGTGGAGTCCCAACAGGGTGAAATTTATAGTAAAGGGAGGTAATACCCCTGTTTAACTCTACATACTTGAAATTTTCTCAATGATAGGGAATATAAATTTTTATTTAATACTTAAATATTCATATTTGTAAAAGTTTTTTTTTTTTTTTTAAATATCAGATGTTTACTTGCTAAAATTAACTATTATTTAGAGCTCTGTAAATAAAAAAAATGTAAGCAGAGCTCTAGATAATAGATACATAGGGTGGGTGAAATCATGGGTCACTAAAGTGATTTGGTAAAATTTTCAAAAAAGGGGATTGTTTGAAAGTGCATCTGACATTTTTAACTTTTATTTTTGTAAATACAAATGGAAAAAAAATAGATTGACAATAAGAAAATGAGGACAGCCTCCTTGGCAGTCAGAAGAGCAGCTCCATGCAAGATGGTCAATTAAATCTTCAACCAAGTCTGAGGCTTTAGCAAGAAAAATATGAGGTAAGTCTAAATATCCCACAAAATGTATGGTTACAATATGATGATTATAGGCATTTATAAAATATTTTTTCTCTTAAGGTTTCTTTTTTATCAGTTTGATTTTGAGGATATCTACATTAAAAAACATATTTTTGTTTTTAACATAACTATGATCCTTTGTATTTCCTGTATTTATTTGGTTTCTACATGTGGTATCACGTTTACATATTGAAGATGGTAATATACAATTTTCAAGAAATAAAAAAAACCAGCATGATTTTGTTGTAGTCTTTTTAGGCATAATTGATTGGTAAAACAACTTTATTATCTTTTTTTGTTTTTATTCAAGGTGGTTGTAATGACAAGGTTTTCATGGTGTTGGGAGTAAGACTTGGATATCTGACACTGTTAACATGTTGGTACATATTCAAGCTTTTTGGGAATAATTTTTATAGTATTTGGCATCAATTTTATAAAAGTACCAGAAAATTAATTATACAATATGATGAAATACAAGTTGATTTTTTTTAAAGCAAATTTTAAATGAGTGATTCAGAATACCAAATATTTTTTTTCATGACATTTATTTGTTATCAAAGTTCTTTTTTAAATTTATTACGATGATATAGAGATTTTTTTTTGGAAAAATTTAGAATTGCCGAACAACTTTTTTTCAGGTTAGCATATCAGCGTTTCCATAGGGTTACTTACTGGGATAGTTATTAGAGCTGTTTTAAGGTGAGAATTTATCAACTTTAATTTATTTATGTTATGCTGTGGACTGAATGCCACTAAATAATTATACATGTACAGTGAAATCTGTTTTAAAGAGACCAATTAAGTGAGAGCTAAAGAAGTGGTCTTATAAGACAGGTGGTCTTTTAATACAGGCTCAATCTATATTTTAAAAATGCACTACAGAGGGACCTAAAATTAGTGGTCTTATAGCACATGTTTTTGTTTAATACAGGTGTTCTTTTAAGCAGGTTTGACTGTATATCAATCCTAAAAAGATTTCAATATGAAATATTTTACCTTTACTTTAAAAGTGAATCAGTATTCAATATTTAGTATTGTCTCACTTGTCAATTAATAAATGTCATACCCTATTAGCAGGTCCTGAATAAGATATAAGAAGGGGAGATTATCTTACATTTTATTGTTAGGATAAAACCAGTGCTATCATAAAAAAGATGTACGATAAATTCCTTTCATTCAGTCTTGAATTTTTTCAATACAAATTTTCGAAAGAATTTATTTCTACATTTTATCACGGAAAAAAATATTGGAGCAAGAGTCAATATAACAACCAAACAACAAAATAGACATTAATTTTGTGTTTGTTTACACCTTATCGCTATTCCTGCTTGACCCGAGAATCTGTTCCGCTTGAACTTTTGACGTCTTACAACAATCACTTTTCCATTGTGGCGTCAGATATTTTCTATTATGACGTCAAAATTTTACGGGAACTTTTGTGATGTCCAGTAATGGCGGACAAATAGCGATAAGGTGTATTATGTGAATACCTGTATATGGATGGTAGAGTTTATCAATTTATCAGCAGTTTCTGCATTTGTTAATTTCAAATTATTGTTCAGGTATTTGAGGTCAAGTGGTGGTAAAGTCCAAAAAATTTACTTTGGTGTATTGAGATTTTCGTTTTTACAAAAGCTGTTCATTTTTAATAATATGTATATTTTGGAGGAATCAACAATTATTAAAAAAACAAACATAGACTGATTATTTTAATATTAAGATTTAAAAATTAAATCTTTACTTTATTTCTTTTTCAGTTGATTGTTACTGTTGCTGCCTTGTATGGTAAAATCCTCAGACAATAATCCTGAAACCATTGGATGAACTGTTCCAATATTTTTTAGTAGAATCTGTAAACAGTAGTTTTATAAGCAGAAGAATGAATTGTTAACAAATTTAGTTTTTAATGCTGTATCAATTTATCTAAAGTCCAAATTATAAATATTTTTTTCCTTATTTAAGCTGTGAAATTATTGTTATTTGAGGGGTCTCAAAAGTATGCCATATGGTTTCACGAAATACCCATAAGACTCATCAGTTTACATATATTTTTTAAATTATGTATGTGTAAGTCTTACAAGTTTTTTGTGAATTGAATTTTGACGGTTAGAAACCAATAAAGTAGGACTTGGATGGCCAAACATTAAGGGAGTATATAAAAAAAATTCCCCTGTTAAACAATTTATGTACCCAGTTTTTGATGCAATATAAACTTGGTTACTGCAAATAAAAATGTTAGGTTTGGTTTGACTCCACTTTCTGTACATTTATACAAATTAATGGCTGTCAGTTTTATTTATTGGTTTTGTTTATATATTATAAATGCATTATTCAGCATCTGAGACCACTCAAGTGAAAATAATTACATAGTTTTTGCAGTTTGTTTTATTTTTTTTGTCATTCATCATTATTTATATTTTAAGGACATATTATAAGGTTTGTTTTTTGAGGATTGTACTCAACTTCTTAAGAATTATTTACCCCACCTAAGATTAATCAGGAAACTGTAAAATAAGTTTTTCTTTGATTTTTATGGATAGATGGCTGTTTAACGTTCAGTCTCAAATTAAATGCATAAATGCTTTATACTAGACCAGCACGCTGAGCTGGGTTTTTTAATGTGCTAGTTCACAATGTAACAGTCCACAGGAAGACATTTCACCTTACCTAATATCAAATACCGATTTTTAATTCTTTGGTTTGACCCAGCAGGGGATCCAAGTCCCATGACCTTCTTCGCTCGAGGTGAGCATATAATGGGATGTTAAAGAAGATTTGTCTGTCTGTTTGTCCATCATCATCTCTCATCCACAGCTTATATTCTATTGGAAGGTTTTCATTGAAACTTTCAGGTTATCTTAGGTAACTAATGGCAATGTGTATTTTATTTTATTATAATGAAATTTTGGGATTCCCAAGTGAAATGAATGGACCTTTTAAATATTTTGATTAACTTCAAAAGGAAGCATCTTGTACAACAATTTTGTCATGTAAAGAATAGGTTGGTTTGAATATATTTTGTTTTGTTTTTAATCTTATTTTTGATAGTTGGATCTCATTATGACAAAATTTTCATAACATTAACAAGAATTCAGAATAAATTCTACTTTAAGACACTAATATATTACCATTTTATAAGGCTTTGCTATAACAAGATTTGTGTTTTATCTGGTTTTATATTATTTTAGTGGTTTTTATGTGATTTTATTTGATTTTATTGTCAAATCTTGTTGTATCAAGCCTTAATATGATTGAGTTTGTGTGGAAAATTGATAGATTTTGCTTACACATGCAGTACAAAATATTTATTTACATGATGAGATCTGACATTTTATGCTTTTAACTCTTTCTTAAAGGATGAAATAAAATATGAATGAATTAAACTATTGATGTAGTCCTTAAAGATTGACCAAATTACAAGATTTATGGATGCAAGTTAAAAATCTGCTCTAACTAAATCTATGTTCACATCAGCTGAACCATCCTATCCTTCGATATGAATTATAAAATGTAAGAAATGTTAAAATCCATTCTTCAATTTGAGAACCTTAAGAAATTTTAAAAATGGTACACAGTGTCAACAGATACTGAAGATTATTTGAAAGTTTAGGAAAAGTCTTATTTAATCCTTTAATTGTGGGTTAAATTTGTAGATGGATGAGCAAACAGATGATACACTTGCTCACCACAGCACATCTTATGGATAAATAACTAAATTAACTGTTTATTAGTTATCTCCCTTCATATAAAAAAAAATAAAGGTCCTTGAAAAATATAAATATACTTTTATCAATACAAAAAACTAACTTTGCATAGAAAAGAACATTTATATAAGAAAACAGCTTGGGGTTAAAAATAAGAAATTAAATACAGTTAACTATTTCCTTGGTGATCTAATAATTTTTGCACAGGTCAAGATATTTAGATTATTTTAATTACCCAATAAATAAGTTGAGTACATCTCAAAAATGAATTTGATTCATGTATTTTAAAACTTTTTTATTGTAGTTTTTACCTTGTATTCCTATTGTATAAGAATTGTAATGTTTTTGAATGTCTTTTTCAGAAGTTGAGACAAACTGATAATTCTATTTTTTATGGCATTCTATCCTTTTTTTATAAGTTTGGTAAGCAATGGAAAGCCTCAAGTTTATATATTAACAAAGAAACGTTACTTTCATTGGAAGTAATGATAACAAAATTTGGTTCATGTATCTCAAAACCAGTCCTTTTCCAGTCTGAGAACTGGTATCCATGAAATTAGAAAGAATCATCAGTAATGTAGATAGTTTGTATAATTGTAATGTCTTCCTAATGATACCTAACCCATGATGCAGATCCTTTTCCTCCTTTTAATTGCAAAGTTGATATCCGTGACCAAAAGCTTATTACTAGTTGTATCTATTTCTTTGATGTTTAAACACACCTGATGAAGCAGAATGGGTCTTGTACGTTTGTATCATGATGCATAATAATAGTACAATTAATTGATAAATAAAATTTATTGAAGAAAACCCATCTTATACATGTTATATTTTATGTGAGTCTGAATTACTAATAAAGGGGGAAGAGGTTTCTGTGGTCTAGGGTATGAGGCAGATGTCACTTGGTGTCTATCATATCGATCTTTAAACTTTTAGAAATGTTCATGAAACTTCTTTGCTGGTTTGAACAAGACATGATGCTTTAGGCATTACCTTACAGAATTGTTCATTAGATTTGATGATTACCTGATTAGCTGCCAATGCTTTAAATAGATCAAGAATGTTTAAATGATCTAATTTTATATTGTCTTATAAAAGTAAGAAAATGTGGTATGATTGCCAATGAGACAACTCTCCACCAAAGACCAAATGACATACAATTAACAACTAAAGGTCACTGTATGGCCTTCAACAATGAACAAATTGCCTGTCACATACAAAACATAGGGATACTTATCTGGTGTTGGAGTTGTCTGTATAAAACTTCATTATCCAGACGCTGGAAGACCTGAATAATACAATCTGCTATGCAGATGCCTTATGGTCTGAGGTATTCATCTGGCATATGATCCATCATTGTTGTCTTTATCCAATTTTTGAGGTCCAATGACCACTTAAAAATTGTATAGTTTTTTTTTTGTTACATGAATTTGACTGTTTTTATGTGTAATAAGGACAACTATATTTGGTATATAAATCTTTGCAAGGTATGCATGTCCTTCTGACAGGGTTCACCTGAAAGTGCCCCAATGTCATGGTTTAAGTCATTAATGTTCAGTTTTGTGGATTAGGAATTAGTTCCTCCAACACTTTTAATAATTCATCAATATATTCAATGGATAGAACAAATGTAAGGTGTATATGTCTGTCCAACTTACTTCATCTGACCTTGACCTAATTTTCATGGTTTTTGGTCAACATTTAGTTTTCATGATTAGGTCTGTCTGTCTGTCCATTTCTCAGATACTACAAGTAATAGGTAAACTATATTTTGAGTACAGACAACTATAGTGAGTGTATAGAATGATTATAAGGTGTACATTTCCATCTGACACAGTTTATCTGAAGTTGACCTTAATTTAATGGGTCATCAATTGAGAATGTAAATGTTCTGTTATATCTGGATTAAAACCTGTATTATTAGTCTTAAAAGACTTTCAACATAGAATTCAATTACCATCAGTTACACAGGCAGGACAATTCAGTGAGTGCATTCATAAAGGCAATTGGGACAAATTTTTGATCACATAGTTCTTCCTCTATTAAACATTCGGCAAATGACGACTGGAATATGATCTACACATGGCTGTAACTGCAAAAAGTGTATCAGTTTGTCTCCCTTGCAATTCAAATGGTGTTATTCTTAAAGGTTTGTTAGATATTTTTGTCGATCTTCAGCTTTTTGTAGTGTAAGCTGAAGTGTCGTTAACAGTTACGTTCAGTCTGAGGTTCAATTTGTTTCTACATAACTTGGTCAAACCTTCTCAAATTATATTAAACTTTAGCAGAAGCATTTTTATGATGAGGGGTCTAAATTAAAATCAATAGAATTTTTTAATAATTTGCCAAAATGTAATTTATATGTTGTTTTTTTCTAAAATATGATAAAAAGTATGGGTAACAGAGCCTTTTTTCAAGCTACAGGTTATGTAAAATTGTAGATTTTGTATAAATTATAAATGGAAAAACTAATTTGATAATTATCATAATGTGCTAACAGAAAAAATGGATTTATGGGACTTGTTTTTTGGCTGTAAAACAAACTAGGTAAATTCCCTAATCATGTATAAAAGTAAAGTTAGATTTATCTCCCCTTATATGGCAAAGTTTTACTGTGCGTATTGCTATGTGTTTCTTTATTCTACATTGGCTAGAGGTATAGGGGGAGGGTTGAGATCTCACAAAACATGTTTAACCCCGCCGCATTTTTGCACCTATCCCAAGTCAGGAGCCTCTGGCCTTTGTTAGTCTTGTATGTTTTTTTTTAATTTTAGTTCCTTTATAAGTTTTGGAGTTTTGTGTGACGTCCATTTTCACTGAACCAGTACACAATTTTATTTAGGGGCCAGCTGAGGACCACCTCCGGGTGTGGGATTTTCTCGCTGCGTTAAAGACCCATTGGTGGCCTTCGGCTGTTATCTGCTCTTTGGTTGGGTTGTTGTCTCTTTGACATATTCCCCATTTCCATTCTCAATTTTATTATATATGTTCTGTATTTTTTTAAATAATTCTTTATAATAAGATAAAAACGCATTATTTTCTTTATCTAAATGAAAAATCTTACAAATAAATTTCATTCCTCTCTCAAAAGTTGTATATTTTTTTAAGGATCTAGACTGATTGAGTTCTGTTTTTTTTTCCAGGATGGCCAAAGACATCCAATCTACCTTCAGAGATAATGTTTGAATTTTGTTTCTTCTCTTCATTTTACAGCATTTTACAAATAGATGGACTTAGTTCTCTGAGGTTAACATTTACATACAGTATGGGAATACATTTTTTAGACATCAATTTTGTTGCTAAACCCCCATGGAATGTTATGAAACTTTGACAGAAGATTGT